TTGAATGCGATGCTTCTAATGGGGGTATTGGTGCTATCTTATCACAAGACTGCCACCCTATCGCTTATCTTAGCAAGGCTCTTTCTACCAAGCATCGCAGTCTCTCCGTTTATGACAAAGAAATGATGGCAGTAGTACACGCTATGGAACACTGGAGGCCTTACCTGCTGGGAAGGAAGTTTAAAATTCTCACTGACCACTAAACTATTCGGTATTTTTTGGAGCAAAGAATCATTACAACCACTGAAGAGAAATGGCTGCTCAAACTCTTGGGCTATAATTATGAGATTGAGTATAGAGCTGGAAAAAATAACGCCGGACCTGATGCCTTGTCCCGAAAACATGAATTACTGGATCTAATGGGGCTCGCGTCCCCCATTTTTTATTACATCCCTCAAATGGCAGCAGCCTGTCTTCAAGATTCAGCCACTCATCAACTCATTTTGAATGCTCAGTCTGTCTCTAATCCCAATTCTCATTTACTTGGGTTAACAACAATTTATATTACAAGGGCGGCTTGTATGTACCAGCCACGGCTTCGCGACGCGATCAGATCCTTGAGGAGTTTCACAATACTCCTACTGCAGGACACTCTGGTTATCTTCGAACTTACAAGAGAGTGCTACGCACTTTTAGATGGCATGGTCTTAAATCCGACGTAAAGAAGTATGTGGCCACTTGTGATACCTGTCAACGCAACAAATATGAATTGATTAAACCCCAAGGCTTACTTCAGCCTTTGGCCATTCCAGACTCCATTTGGCAGGATATTGCAATGGATTTTATTAAAGGACTGCCGCCAAGCTCGGGGAAGAATTGCATCCTCGTGGTGGTCGATCATTTGTCTAAATATGGCCATTATGTGGCAATCAAACACCCCTACACTGCTGTTCGAATCGCTCAGATTTTTATCAAGGAGATTTTTTGACTTCATGGGTTGCCCCGCACCATAGTCAGTGATCGCGATCATACCTTCATAAGTCAGTTCTGGACAGCGTTCTTCCAAGCTCAGGGCACCAAGCTATGCCATAGTTCAGCGTATCATCCTCAGTCCGACGGACAAACTGAGGTTCTCAATTGCACACTGGAACACTATTTGCGTTGCTTCGCAGGGGACAAACCCACCAGCTGGTCCTCTTGGTTACCTTGGGCAGAATGGTGGTATAATACCACCTTTCACTCTGCCATCCAGATGACGCCCCACGAAGCTGTGTATGGGAAACCTCCTCCTGTCGTATCTTCTTATATACCCGGTACTACCGCAGTGGATGCCGTGGACACCACTCTTTGGGAACGTGATGCCATTCTCCATCAACTCTGTCAAAATTTGCAAGTGGCACAGGATCGTATGAAGCACTTTGCAGATAAACACCGCACTGAAAGGGAGTTTCAGCTAGGGGACTGGGTTTATCTCCGCTTGCAGCCTTATCGACAAGCCACAATGCGTAATCCTCAACATCCCAAACTTGCTCCCGCTTTTATGGCCCCTTCCAGATCTTTTCATGAGTGGGCACAGTTGCATATAAGCTGCAGCTCCCTGGACATTCTTGTATCCACAATGTTTTTCATGTCTCATTGCTGAAGAAGAAGCTGGGTTCGAATGTCTCCCCTTCGCCCACTTTTCCTCCCATGACAGATGGCCTAGTTCACTGGATGCCCGTGCAGATTTTGAACGGAGGTTTAATCAAACAGAAGAATAAACCTGTTACACGTTGGCTCATTCAATGGGAGGGGCTTCCAACCAAAGATGCCACCTGGGAGGATGCCTATAATATTCTAACTCGTTTCCCTTCGTTTCAAACCTGAGGACAAGTTTGGTTCTTGAGAGGGAGGAAATGTTAGGACCTAACCCTTTCTTTGGGCCATGGCTTTAGCCCAAGAGATCATCTAGCTATTTTCCCCAAATAAGATGTTTTACTTTTCTGTGTATTCAGGAGTTGGTTAGTTTTTCTCTATCAACCGATTGCCAGTTGGTAATCGAAGCTAGCTGCATAAACACCAGTTTGCTTGGTGGTAAAGGCATGAATGAAATTATAGTTGATTTCCTTTCTTTTCTTCCTTCTGTATTTTGCTAAGTTCCTTTTCAGGTCCAAGGTCTCAACACATACCTCCTCGCAAAACCCAACCCAACTATCTTCTTCCCACCTTCGAATCTTCGCCACCAAAAATCAGCACTTCATTATAGGGCTCGAAAGAAGCTCTATTTCACTGTCTATGTCGTCATGGAGGACCAAAAAGCAGAGTACCTATCTTGAGAATTGCACAGAAAAAGCCAAAGAGGCTGCTGATTCTCAGATCCTACCCATCCGTCTCATCCAATCCTCATACCTCATCGCAAAACCCAACCCAACTATCTTCTTCGCCACCAAAAATCAGCACTTCATTATAGGGCTCAAAGGAAGTTCTGTTTCACTGTCTATGTCGTCATGGAGGACCAAAAAGCAAAGTACCCATCTCGAGAATTGCACAGAGAAAGACCAAGAGGCTGCTGATTCTCAGATCCCAATTGTAATTCCGTCCGTACGTGTGGCTGAGAAGTTGTCCAGGAAGAAATCGGAGAGGTTCACTTATCTTGTTGCTGCGGTGATCTCCAGCTTTGGTATTACTTCCATGACCAGCTTTGGTATTACTTCCATGGCTGTCAGGCTGTTTATTACAGATTTTATTGGCAAATGGAGGTACCCAATTTCTCTCTGCTCCTTAAACCATAAAAGTTACGAACTTTATCTTCTCTGGTTGAGTTTTTGAATTGGGTAATTTTTTTTTCTGTTTCTGTGTAGGGTGGGAATGTGCCTTTGTCTGAAATGTTGGGTACATTTACTCTATCCGTTGGTGCTGCTGTAAGTTCACTGACAACTTCTCAATTGGGGAAACTTAATTAAATTAAATTGATTTTGAAGTTTTTTTCTTTACACTGAAAACTACTAAATCGATTTGGATTTTATATATGTATATTTTAGGTGGGAATGGAGTTTTGCTTCGAGGTTTGCTTCGAATTTTGCTACTTTTTGTTATCTCTTTGATGCCAACAAAATTTTGAGTTTGGAATTTTGTTTCTTTTCGTTCACTGGGAAACCAGCAATGAAAGAAACATGACAAGCTTGAGTTTTTATATTGTTTTTCCATTCAGCTTCTTAGCAACCAATCAGTGTTTGATATTTGATATGAACTTTAATTGCCGTCTCACCACCGACCTAGAGAAGGTCCATTCGAGCTTAACGATGGACTGAAACACAGAGAGAAGAGATAAGGAATCTGGCGGAGAGGAAAGAAGGAAAGAAGGGAAGGAAATTTTTTTATTTATTTATAATTTTGGATTGATTTGACGATTATATCCCCGGATTTAACAGATAGACTATTTAAGAGCACTTATATAAATGTTAGAGACCATGAGTGATACATAAAAACTTTAAGGATGCAATTTGATAGTTTCGCAAACGTCAAGGACGTTTTGTGATAAAAAGCCTTTTTATTTTCATGGAAATGAATAATTTAAGCTTAAGCAAGCTGTAACAGCTATAATACAAGATTCAAATGCATTAGCTAACAAATCTGGGATCTGAATCCGCTATCTAGAAAGATGTATAAAATGCACACCAAATAATCGTATTGGAGCATTGGCCAGTTAAAGAGCACTTGCAAGAGAATCCCTCATCATTTATCTGAAAGATGGACAACTCAAAGACTTTTTGACTGTTATATGAAAATTGAATGAATAGCTTTCATTTAAATAGGAATTTTATGAACTAATGGAGCCCATGAAAACATAGTTGATAAATTGCCTCAAGATATTCCACATCAATCAACATGCAGCAATTCAAATATCATGGGATGACCAAAGATATACTAAAGGACAGCAGTCCCCAGGTCTATACTTCTTGTATCCTCTGGGCAGTCACTGAACCTTGTAACCCACGAAATCTAGCAACATGAACCAGAACCTGAAAACTAGGTCCGAAATAAATCCTGTAACCACCAGTATAATCTTCACTTACATTTTACAGTGCTCCAATTACTCCTACCATCATGACCTGTGTGTTTCCTCTTAGAAACCACATCCTGCCACAAACAGAACTATCAGAGGCACAATCTTAACAGAAGTCGTAAACATCTACCCACCTATAACTCTTGCTATTGTGCAACTTCCCCATTTTTAGAGTTAAGCAGCATTAGGATAATACACAATACAAGATTTTTATCTATCTAAGAAAAAAGGTTGATAACTAGAGTAAAGTAAATTATTAAACACTAATCAGGGAATGGCGAACTGGATTCTAGACCCCCACCGAGATGAAAAGAACTGCTACCAAAAGAAAAAGAAAAAGTAATATAAGATGAGTATCAATTAAACACATTCAGTGTCACTCCAGAGGAAAATCAATATATTTAACTTCCATCTCCTATTTCCCTCAAGAAGCACCAAAGATACTTGATTACTTGGTAATATTCCATTAAATGTGTCTTCATGCTTAGTATAGTAAGACCAACTGAGAAGAAAACAAATGATGCTTATATAATTGAACCACTAATGTAAGGAAACAGATAACCAGCACAGCAAGCTATCAATGTACGTGATTCATGTCAAAGACTTTGGTAGGACTACTTTCAACCCAAGCCTTCTTCCCATCAAGAGTAAATGTATCCATCAACTCATTGATTCAACTATCTGGTTCGTACATAAAAGTGACAGTGGCTGCAGGTGACCACTTGGCATGATCTTTGCCAATCCCTTTTCTGGCAATGGCCCTTAGCCTCAGCTCTTGCCCCTTTCGCAACTTCACAATGATAATCCCTTTAAAACCACCAAAAGTAATGTTACCCAATTTCAACAGCAAAACAATTCAACCATACCCAAATAACAATTCATATAATAGATTAATAGATTAACATCCAGAATGCATTGAAATTAGTATTAGTATAGGCATATATAATATAAATATGTTCAACAAAGAAGATGGAAGGAAATACATTTAATTGTTTGCAAAGTCCAAGTTGAGCCAATGACCTATTGCCACCTTTTATTACATAATACGAAAAGGAGAAAATAAACTAATCTTCTTACAACTTGGAAAAGAAAAAAGAAAAATAACAAGGTTGGTCAAAAGCCATATATCCATCCATCCACTTATGAATGAGTGCTACTGTACCTGCTGCTTCCTTCCTTGCAAAAGTCTCCCCCATTACAAGAAAATTGCTGAATCTATTACTTTGACGGTTCTTAATGTATTAGTACCTATAATGCTCTGAATAAAAAATACTCTGGGACCTACACGATGCTCTGTTTCTTGAACATCAATCCCATGCATTAAATGCATAGGCATATCAACCAATAATAGAGATTTAAGATTTTCGAGGTGGCGGATGCCGGAGGGCACCTGTTGCAGTTGTGGACTAGATTCAATTTCCAAAGTTTCAAGAAGGGCCAATGCTCCATTGTGTATTGTCATCAATTTCAAGCCTTTCAAGTTTTGGAGCCTGAGGTCCTTCAGTTTTGGAAATCCTTCTTCAAAGTGCAGCTCCTCACAACTAAACGCCTCATAGATATAAAGTAGCAATAAATTGGGCAGACCTTGTAGGACTTTTAAGGGATTGTGATCCCCTGCTAGTCTCGACCAACATAAAGCTAATCGAGTTAAAAGACAAAGTCCTGCAATCCAATCAGGTAGCTTTTCTAGACGCCCCAAGAAATTGAGAGATTGAAGACGTTGAGGTGGATTGGAGATCTGCTGCATATCAATAATTTCATCATTATTTATTGCTGTTACTTCCAATGATTGCAACTGAGGCATCTTTCCAATGGAAGCGCATAGATCTTTCCCTTGTTTGCTGGTCAGTTTTAGAATTCCGAACCTTCTCAATTGCTTCAAATTCCCAACTTCTTTAACAAGACTATCGGTTGCCTCCACAACATATAGCTTTTGCATGTTTCCCCAACGCTCGATCCCATCCTGAATCACCACACCTCGTCGTCTAGTCATACTAAACTTTTTGTTCATGTCCTCATTGTATGCTAAAAGACTTCTAAGTTTAGGAAGCTTATTGATTTCAATTGGTATCTGATCCACTAGGGAATGCTTCAAGTCTAGAGTCTCAAGGTTCACAAGCTTCCCCATGGATTTCGGAAGAATCTTCACTCTTGTATTCCTCAAGCTCAAATACTTCAAGTGGTACATGTATCCAACTTCCTCAGGAAGATTGTCAAGAAGACTATCTTCAAAGTCCAGTACTCTCAACAACTTGAATCTTTTGTACAAGTTGCTACAAGTAGTAAGAGGATTTTGTGGGTCACCTATGCCATTGAAAAAACACAAGGAATGGGCACGAGATTTTTCAATGCAACCAAAAATATTGTATGCATTGCTATAAACACACAGGTGCCTGGAATTTTCATTGAATCTTGAATCTTCTTCCAAAAATTGAGAAAAGCTAAGATCTGCAATCCTTAAAAGGATCACGGCCTCCCGCATGACATCATGGACTTGACATTGTTTGAGTTTCCCACTAGAATTATCAACTAATGACACTTGAACTAGGCTTCTTTGGATAAGCTCGGTCAAGTATTCTTCCGCAACATCTTCCAATGTTTTCCCTCTCTGCTCCTTTATAAACCCTTCAGCGATCCATTGCCGAATTAGTCTAGAGCATCTGATGGTGCGATTTTCTGGACATGTCCCAAAGTATAAAAAGCAAGGTCTGAGATGGTATGGTAAATCATAATAGCTAAAAGAAAGAATTTTTGTAATATCTGTCAAATGAGGATTAGACTCTAGCTCTGAGCTAAGACTATCAAGCAATTTTCTCCATTGAGACACATCCCCACCTTTGGTTTGTAGAAGTCCACTTATAGCCACAATTGCAAGAGGCAATCCTCCACATCTGCTAACTATTGTAGTAGCAAATTTCTTCAACTCTAGTGGACAATTTCCCCCGGAAACTTGGAATGTCTTCTTGCAGAAGAGTTCCCACGCCTTATCTGGAGACAATGGTTCAAGGTTGTACACTTGATCAAAAAAAGCTTCTCTGCAAGAAGCAGCAACCTCACTCTTGCGAGTTGTGATAATTATCCTACTGCCATTGTTGTTATCGGGTAATGCAAGCTTTACACACTGCCACAAGTTTGTGCTCCACACGTCATCAAAAACAACTGCATATCTCTTTTCCTTGAGATATTCTCTCAGAGTGTCAATCAACAATTTCAAATCCATTGTTTCAATTCCCTCTGGTACAGACTCCTTCCTCACCCTATGGAATTCTGCAATCATGTTTCTGAGTATGCCTTCGTTCTTGTATGATTGTGACACTGTGATCCAAGCGCGCCAATCAAACCATTCTATGAACCTTGGGTTATTGTAGACTTTGTTTGCAAGAGTGGTCTTTCCTAGGCCTCCCATGCCAACCAATGAACTGACTGAGCGTCCAGATGCTACCTCTCCTCTTATCGACCAACCTATCAGTTTATCTCTCAAAGTCTGAATACCAACGAGCTCAGCTTCCTCTGTGTAAAGGGAAGCCATTCGTGGGTCAAATAACGTATCATCTCTCCTTGAAGAGCTAAATGAAGTTTGCTCTGTTGAATTGAAGCAATATGCTTCACTTGTTTGCTGGATTTGGAGGACACGTTTTTTGATAAGTTGAATCTCCGAGGCTATCTCGTGGCGCGCAAATAGCCCTTCCAAAAAGTGACCAGTTTTATGAAGGAAACCAGTAAATCCACGTTTGTTACGACGGCGTGCCACGTGATGTAGGTATTCATCAATGACATCTTCTATGTGAATGGCCATCTCCCTTGTTTGCTTCACCCAAGTTTTGACACCACTGCTCATGTTTGCCCTTTCTGCTTTTGCATCTGCATCCTTAAGGAAAGATGTCATGCTCTCTAGGAGATCTTTTATACTTGTAACGTCGTCATGAATGCCTCTCAACAAATTCCCTTCTTCCCTTAACAGTGGAACCAACTTGTCAATGACAATGTTCACTGCAGTCTCTGCCATCACTCAGCTAGTTTGCTATGAGAAAACAAAAATAAAGACAAAAAATAATGTACAACTCGTATTAGAGGATAAGTCGTTGAGTGTGCCAGAAAAATTGAAAACAGATGAGTAAATCAGAGATAGCACAGAATCGGTGTTTGAGAACACTAAGTATAATCAACAAAACAAGCAAAGGAGGAAATAAGAACATAACTCAAAGATGAAGAGAAAAGACAGCACATACGAGAAGAAAGATGAAGAGAGAGAGATACCTGGTCACAGAGAGAGAGGAAGAAGGCGTTGGAGAAGGTAGCAGATGATGAGCAGAGGTGGAGCAATGCTAACACCTGGTTGACTAACTTAAAATGCTGCACGACATCACAACTCATTTTCTTATTGTTTATCTTTAAAATTAAAACAAGTATTTGGCTTATTTAAGGGCGGAAAAACACAACGTAGCATTGACCAGCAGGCCAAGGAGCCAAGCCAACCATCATATACACCTACTACGACCCAGCCCAGGACTGGTAAGAAATTTCTAATTTAATTTACGTCCTTTAAATTTGCACAAAAGTTCAATTTGGCAGCTTATGTTTGAAGAGTTCACATGTTACACCTTCTTCAGCTTACGTTTGAAGAGTTCACATGTTTCCTCCCCATTTTTTTTTTAAAAATAAAATTAATTTATGAGATAACATTAAACGTATGCAATTTTTTGATACGAAAATCAACAAGTAAAAATTATTTTTAAAAGAGGATCGGGTTAATCACAAACTTGTGCCCGACTAGATTTCTTTTATTTATTTATTTATAAAATTTTAACACTAATAAAACAATTGGAAATCTGAAAAGGACTATCCAATAGTTATTTCGTGCTTTTATGTAAGTCCACTTAGGCAATCTCCAATGGAGGCCCTCCTCTATTCTAATTATTACAATACTTGAGCTAACGACAAAAAACTCCCTGAAGACTTGAGGTCATTTTCAATATGGGTCATGGGGTTTTAATTTTATCAATTTATACCCTAATGTTTTCAAATCTAATAATAAATTTAATTCTTCCGTTTAGTTGACCATTTGGTCAAACGTTAACCGATGACCTGTTTATTATGGGACCTATCTATTAATCAATCCCTGAAAACATTAGGGTGTAAATTGAATTACCTTGCATGTCTTGTGTAGCTATGTATTTATAGTATCCTTGTGTACTAGGGTTTTGAGAGAATAATCCTTATTTGGTTAAGATTATTCTTCTCCAAAAAGATGATAGAAATTATTTCAAAAGATTTGGTGGATATTGGTTCCCAGACTATGTAGTGTAGTTTCTTTATGTTTTTATAGAATTAGTTTTTTTGTTGTTGTTGCAGTTTATGTTTTTGTTTGTATTTTTTTGGTTGCATTTTTTTGTTTATATCATTGATATCTACATTGTTTTGTTATAGAGTATTAGTTTATTTCAATTTTTGTTTTTTCTGTTGCAGTTGTTGTTCTGTTTGCAATTTTGTTTGTTTGTTTAAATCGTTGATATCTACATTGTTTTGTTATAAGTAGTTTTTTTTATTGCAGTTTTGGTTTTTACATAATTGATATCTACATTTCTTATTATATAAACATAAATAATACCAATATAATATACATAACCTTTTAAAACTTATAAATTTTTGTAACTTTAAATTGATTTATTTATATATAACTCTAGAGCATGAGGAATTTGGTTCAAATCTTGCGTGAATCGGTGTTGAAATGATTTTTTATTTTATTTTAAAAAAAATCGTTGACTATTAATATAAAATAAAGTTGGTGTAGTGGTTTGTGAATGAAGCTTTCCTCCCTTAATGATCAAGGTTTGGGTTTCCCCTAAACATAAATTTTCTATTTTTAAAGGATGAATAAAGGACAAACGGAGTTTGTGGCCGAAAGTATTTTAATTTTTTGACACAAATTAAAAAATTGGAAATCTGAAAAGGACTTTCAATAATTATTTCGTCCTTATGCGTAAAGTCCACTTCGGACCTCCCCTATTTCAGTTATTATAATACTTTCATGCCCATCATTTAGAGCTGATCAAATATATATGTTTTTTTATGGCTCTAGTTTTATGCACTGCTATTTTGCCATTGGACGTTGGAAAAGGGAGTAGATGATTGTGAGAGAAGAGCTACTACCTGGTTGACTAACTTAAAATTCCACACACAAGTTGTAATATTTTCTCATTAAAAAACCGTATCTTTATAACAATTTGGCTTATTTAAGGCCAGAAAAAACAATGTAGCATGAGGAAAGGATGAAAAAAAAAAATAATGTTCTTGGATGGCCATATATTCACTTATGATGAGTGGCATTAATTATTTTTCATTAAAAACCATATCTTTAAATCACAATGTGGCATTGACCCGCAGGCCAAGGAGCCAACCATCCATTCATGCCAACCCAGGAAAAAAATTTCTATTTTCATTTTAGGTCCTTTAAAATTTGCACAAATGCATTTAGTACCTTATTTTGAAAAGTTGACATGTTAGTACCTTATGTTAAAAAACTAACCATAGTTTAAGCCTTAATTAACAGTTAAACGTGAAAGCATTGCTATTTCATTTTCGATTTGCTTCAACAAGTGAGAGGACAGCTTCCACTAAGAAAACAAGCAATTAGAAATGAAAAGTGGCTAGTTGAGGATCTTTTCCTCCAAATAGGCTCTCTAAGGATTTTTGTATAAATTATTTTGGTCTCATTACGTTTTTTTCTAATTTTCTTTAAACAAGCACCGATGTCAGATAATAAAATGGACCCAAGAGATCACATGTAGCAGTGGTTTAATTGTTTGTGTTGCTTTTACATGAAGGCACCCGTCAAGAAATTCAGATACAAGAACTCAAACATCATAGGACGACAAAGATACAAATAAACGTAAGATACAAACATCATAGGACCTATGGTGATCACTTGCCGTTCAAGTCTTTTTAGTCTATGAAAAATCAATTTAAATTAAAAGCTGTGTTTCAAGATGATTTGTCAATCACTTATGTTCTACATTGGTTGTAAGCCTCCTCAGTCTTAAGGAGCCAAGCTTTTTTCCATAAATAATAATATAATGAAAAAAGATAATTTTTGTTTTGGTGCATTCATGGAGGGCACCTCTCTCTAATTTTTTTTTTCTTTTGGAGTACAAGTATTGGTGAAGGGGGCTTACACAAATATTCGTTGGGTGCCAAGAGTTTCGAACCTCTGTCCACATGGATGGAGGTGGAAGATGTTGAGTCATATTCTAGTTAAGTTTTCTTTTGGATTCCCTTGTCAACGTTGTAATAGGACATATAATGTAATTACCGAAGCTCAAGGTTAGACTAAGATAAATTGCTCAAGTTGTTCTTTTCTGGCTATTATCTTCAGAAAGCTCAACACAATCATGTATTGGCAAAGGTAATTTCTCACATTACATTCATTGGAATGCATTATGTTATGACTAGTCATCAGACAAAAGGAGAAAATAAACTACTCTTCTTATAACTTGGAAAAGAAAAATGAAAAATAACAAGGTTGGTGTTGGAAAGTCAAATATCCATCCATCCAGTTATGAATGAGTGCTACTGTACCTGATGCTTCCTTCCTTGCAAAGCTCTCGCCCGTTAAACGAAAATCATTGAATCTATTACTTTGACGGTTGTGAATGTATTAGTACATATAATGCTAAGAATAAAAATTACTCTGGGACCTACACGATGCTCTGTTTCTTGAAGATGAATCCCATCCATAAAATGAGAAGGCATATTAACGAATAATAGAGATTTAAGATTTTCAAGGTCGCGGATGCCGAAGGGCACCTGTTGCAGTTGTGGACTAGGTCCAAAATACAAAGTTTCAAGAAGGGACAATGCTCCATTGTGTATTGTCATCAACTTCAGGTCTTTCAAGTGTCTGAGCCTGAGGTCCTTTAGTTTTGGAAAGCCTCTTTCAATAGTGCAGCACCTCACAACTAAACGCCTCATAGATCACAAGTTGCATTAAATTGGGTAGACCTTGTAGGACTTTTAAGAGATTGTGATCACCTGCTAGTCCCAAGAAATTATAAGAGTACGTACTTTATTTTCACCTTTTAATGTGAGTGGTGATTTCCCCACTCCTTTTTCTCATATTTTATCTACTTACACTCCTTTTTTATAGGAGTGGGGAAATCATTGTCCTTTAATGTAATGTAAGGTGGCAATGACTCACCGTGCACTTTGGAAACAATTTGTATTCTAAACTAAATGCCTCCATTCGTTTCTTAGATGGTTATCTACATATTAATGCGTTGCCTTCAGAATACAATGAATAATATCGCGGCTGCTGTTGAGTGTTTAGGCAAGTCTTTCATTTCATTTTGGTTGCTAATGTACGTATTATCTGTTCAGCATATAGTCCTGGAAATCTGTCAAACAACTGTATTGTCCATTGCTCAGCATATGATGAGGGTTTTGACCCAAAAGAAAAGTAAAGCAATTGCAGAAGTTGGGTGGTTTGGTTGAAAACGCAATTACTTGTAGCAGTGGGCTGAGGAAAGGCCTTAAATAAGTTGCCGTCATGTTGTGCAGTATTTTAAGTTAGTGGTAGAGCTCTCTCCTCTGTTTATCTTATCATCTACTCCCTTCTCCAACGTACGGCCTCTTCCTCTTTTGGCTTCATCTCTCTCTCCTCGTAAGTGCTGTTAATTTTCTCTGCTCTTATTTCTTTGATTATTCTTAGTATTCTCAAACGTCCATTTTGTTCTATCTTTAATTTTCTCATCAGTTTTTTATATATCAAATTTCCTTGGCGAATTAGATTTGGACTATACCTCTACCTAAACTGATACATCATCCCTTTTCTTGAACAAGATAACAGAAAGTTTAGAATTAGTTCAACGACTTATCCAATAATACGAGTAGTACATTATTTTTTTTGTTTTCTCAAAGCACACTAGCTGAGTTAGGAATGGGCACAGTTCAGTTTGAACCGGTTTTTGCCTTAAATTAGAACCGAATCCGGTACTATTTATCCGATTTGGTTAGGTTTTAATAAAAAAATTTCACAAACTATCCGGTTCGGGTTGAACTGATTCCGATCTGATTCAATTTTGAACCAAATTATTAACATTATTTTTAAAAAAAATACAAATTTCAACTTTGAAATTTTATTTTTTTGACTTGAAAATTAACAAATTATTCAATTTCATATAAAAATAAATATTAAAGCTAGAAAAGAGATGTTTTGAAATTGAATAAATATTAGTTATGAGATTAAAAATATAGCATTGAATATAAATAAATATTGAAATTATATATTTTTTAATTTGACCAGTTCGATCTTGCCCAGTCAAATTCATGGAG